ATCCGTACACTTGAGGACATGCCCCGAGCTTGTGTTCTTGACTCCGGGGTCCATTGGGACGACCATCTACTCTTGATAGAATTCGCCTACAACAACAGCTACCAAACGAGTATTGGAATGGCTCTGTATGAGGTGTTATATGGGCGGCCATGCAGATCGCTAATTTGTTTGGAAGAAGTGGGCGATAGAAAACTATTCGGCCCAAAGCTGGTAGAGGAGATTACATCCAAAATAGTTAAGATCAAGAAGAACATTCAGACGGCTCAGAACAGGCAGAAGAATTATGCGGACACCCAGAGGAGAGATTTAGAATTTGAGGAAGGCGACCGGTGTTCCTCAAGGTCACTCCCTTCAAGGAAATCAGTAGGTTCGGCAGGAGGGAGAAACTGAACCCCCGATTTATTGGAGCATTTGAAGTCTTAAATAGGATTAGTACCGTCGCCTACAGACTAGCATTACCTCTAGAACTTTCTAAGATCTACAATGTGTTTCATGTGTTCATGCTACGTAAGTACAACCCGAACCCTTCTCATGTCTTGGCCCACGAACTTCTTCCACTCCAGGAGGATTTATCCTACGAGGAAGTACAAGATCGGCATTGCGGATCGAAAGAGCAGGTTACTCCGCAACTGAAAAATACCCTTTGTAAAGGTTATATGGCGGAACCAATTACCAAAGGAGGCTACATGGGAGCTAGAATCAGACTTTAGAGCCTAATATCCCCAGCTGTTCGATCGAGAGTAGGAGACAAATTTGAGGAATTAAATTTCTTTTAAGCGGGGGAGAGTTGTAACACCCAACATTTATTTTTTTGTTTTTATTTTATTTTTTTATAAATATAATTATTTATTAATTGAATTGAATCTATTTTAATTTGATTTAATAATAATAATAATAATAAAAGGGTGAAAATTAGTTAAGTATTTAATTAAAAATAATTTTGGACAAAATGGGTAAAAATTTGGGTTTTGCGGGTATTTTTAAAAGAAAAATCGGAAACCAGATATCAAAAAGTAATTTAGAAAAATTGCACTACATCAGATGCTCGGTCAGCAGCCCCGACCAATCAGGACGTGCTAGGTGGCAGAGGAGCTAATGCGGGATGCCACGCGTGGTGTACCACGTGGGTGATCTGCGTGCCCATGATTGAACGGCTGAGATCCATTCCCGCGCGCACGGACGACCCAGATTGAATCGTGATGAACGGTCCAGATTCACTCCCTATTTAATTGCGATCGGACGGTCCAGATTAAAAGTGATGGACGATCCAGATCAAAAGTGGATGGGTATAAATAACCTCATCCACACCCAAACTCTAACCCTAGCCAGAGCTCCTCGCCAGAGAAGACAACCCAGCCGCCGGGGAGCCGACTATCGCTACCCGCCGCCGCACCGGAGCAATTTTCGACCGCCAAACGAGGTAAAAAATTTCTCCTCTTGCACGAAATTCAATTTTAAACCAACTTATGGCAAAATCAGAGTGAAAGAACCGGCCAATTGGCCGAAAAATGCCTCCGAAGCTAGGCCGCGCCGCCGCAAGGTGTTTCAAAAAACGCCTCCGATGAGGCCCTTTCCGATTCCCGTTCGATGTAACTTTTTCACCGTTGTGATCATCGTTTTCTTCTCTACAGGTTGACCGAAGTAAAACACCCAACCGTAACGTGAGTTGGAGGAGTCGCCGTACCGGAGAGTCCCACCGCCGTTGAGTTTCAGTTTTCTACATTTTTTTGGGTCCACCGAGGGCTCTAAATGTGTTTTTTCGCTGGAACTGATGCAAGTTTGGCTGAATTCGGCCAAAAACGGCCGAAAACAACCAACCCAAGGCAGGTCATTGCCGCGGGAGGCAGTGCTGTCGCTAGAGCACGATGGAGTCGCCGTGCCAGATTTTTGAAATTTGCCAAATGGGCCCTGGGACTGATTTTTGGGTTTATTTGAGACATTTGTAGGTATTGTAAGCTCGTTCCAGTTCTCGAAGAAAAATTCAGGGAACTCAAGGACTGCTCATAGGTGCAGTAACCATTTAGTTTTCGGTGTCAAATCAGGTAAGGACCCCTCACTCTATTTCCTATCATAGATGTAAATTTTGAATAAATAATAATATGGTCTTTTGTACAAGTTAGATAAATATGCATAATTAATTACGGGTTACCAATGGAGCTCGAAATCGGACATTGTTCTCTGTTGATTCCTGTTGATTTATTTTACAGTTTAAAGCCATGATGGTATCTGGTTTTAGAGTTTTAAATGCATGTATTACTGTATTACTTGACCATTGTATGATTTTGGGATTTGATATGTGATTGTATTACCGGATGCATGTTCATTGTTTAGGTGATTGTGTTTAATTTGGTAACGGAGATTAAGGATAAACAGAAAAGGGATGTGATCTAATAAATAGATAAAGTGACAGTCTTACTAGATATCCTAGGAATGGTGGACGAACCGGGTTCATAGGGAACCATACCGTGAACATTTCTCATACCATACGGGGTATGGAGACTTGGTCATTTGGTGCTCATACCAGATGGGGTATGAAAACGACCCGCTTCACCTTCATACTGGACGGGGTATTGAGGTTTAATGTCTTAGCACTCATACCAGACGGGGTATGGAGACTTAATCATTTAGCGCTCATACCGGACAGGGTATGAGAACGACCCGCTTCACCCTCATACTGGACGGAGTATTGAGGTTTAATGTCTTGGCGCTCATAATAGACATGGTATGGGGACGACCCTGGAATTAAGATTATTAAGGAAAATAGTTCACGTGTAGCGGGGATACCCCTATAAATCCCCATGGATACTAGTATGCTGGTGAAACGAGAAACGGTGATGATTAGTTATTGTCAATTAATATGAATTTATGATATGCTCTATGTTACTGATTGTGTATGAAGTTATGATCTGTATGATGTTATTGTCTTTATAGGTTGTTTTCACAGATTCCCCAATGGTAAGTAAAATGGTAAATGGTTTTATTTTTAATGAATGTATTGGTTTAAATTTAATGCTCCATTGGTTGTTTTTGGTTTTTTACCAATCTTTGCTTCTGTGCTGGCGATATAGTGTGATATCCTTACTGAGCTAGTATAACTTACCCATTAGTTAACCATTTTATATCAGTAGGATCTGATTTCCGAGCTCGATCCGCAAAAATGCTGCGAGTAGAAGTTAGATATTTTATAGTTTTCTTTATTTTTTTTTTCATTTCTCATATTTCTTTCAGAGAATTTATTCCGTGATATTTATTTAGTAATTTTAAGTTATCGTGTAATAAATGTTAACTTTAATCTTTATTTCGTTTCCGTACTCAAGTTATTATATGCACTTCCTTTTAAATTTCTGGAATCGTTACATGTTATGCATGCATTTCGCAGTTTTTTAAGGTTATAGAACATGTGTACCGGTAGTAAGGAGGCCATACTTGATCATGCCAGTTTTTCTTTCGATATGCAGGCTTTTGTAGGGATGTTTTATCTGCCGAATAGTAAAATTTTCTAGTAACTATTTTAAATTTCAAAAATTTTTATAAAATATTTAAATAATTAATTAAGAATCACCCAATCCAATATCATATCTAGACTGCTGGTTGGGTTGCCTGCTGGTTAGAGTTCAAGGCGATCGGATAGTTTAGAGTCTGAAAATGAGAGTTGAAATAACATTTGGTTTCTTTAAACTCCGTAGATGCCAGAGAAGTAACCATTCGGGGCTGATTGATCCATTCAAGGACATGGTTTGAAGGAAAATTAGTATTATGTTACTTAAAATCCTTATAATGAACCTCATCAACTCCGTTAGTCATACAAGATTAGTCAATAGCAATCATATATATATATATATCTATATATGTATAGAAAAATATTTTTAAGCAGGAAAACATGCCTTACTTCTATATGTATATATATATATATATATATGTATATATCCATTGGTGATGTCATCAGAGCAGGAAGCACAGCAGAAAATGAAGGTCACCTTTTATCTTTTCAGACCGCCATCATTAATCACGTTGGGTTCACATTCAAACCCTTTCAAGTCTTGAAAAACATTCCATCCATGTTATGTATAAAAACATGCACATACATATTTACATATAATAAAACAAGTACAAATGTATAAAAGTTCATTAAGTTAAGCACACATGTATGTACATACAAATCAAGCATGCAAATAAATAATAAGCGCCGAACGATAGAGTTCTAGGCCATGAATAACAACTTCAATATATTTATGGCAATGGGATGAATACGATGCTTTGGTCAGAGTAGAATCATAAAGATGATGATGAGATCAAAATGTAGGACGATAAATAAAGAAGCTATAAAGCTACCTTTATATATATATATGTATGTATATATATAGTTTTGCTTTTACAGAGGGAGACTCTACTACTAATAGTACTAATTAAAGACACCCGAATTATCTTGACTTGAAGAAACATGTATCTATGTATATATGTGCATGTGTGTGTTACATACACTATGTAGATGTGGGTGAGCCTCAACCTATGTTTGTGTATATATATATATATATATATATATAGAGGGAGATATATATATGTAAGTATAGTAACTTTGAATTCGAAGGCTAAATTGCCAAACACTAAAATCCAATCATGGACCAATATGTATGTCTCTGTTTTTTCCTGGAAAATCATGGCTCATCGTGCATGGGGCTACTCCTCTCTCTATCTGATCATGATGTGCCAATATTCCATTAATGACCGCAAAAACAATTCTATTCATTTGCTTGAATTTATAAATCTTAATCTTTTCAAAAATAAAATTTATACGTTTTATAAAAAGAGTTTATAAAAATTCAAATTCAAGCTCTAATTAATGAATAATTAACTACAAATCCTCATTTTATAATAATAACATGTTAATCACAAAGTTATGTAAATGTAGTAGAAATTAAGAGTATAATAATAAACTACATTATAATACATTAATTACTAATTAGTTTCATAATTTCAATTAAAGAAAGTCAAGAACAAGATCAAGAAAGTCAACAACATCATGTATAGAACCAAGACCCAATTGACCACATTAATCCAATAAGTTCCCAACATTGCAATACCAAATTACAAATCTCCCTCTCTCTTATATACCCATTATACCAAACCACCCCCCACCCCAAGAAAACCAAAATTAAGAAGAAGAAAAAAAAAATAAAAAAATTTCCCAAGAAGAAAAATTATCAAATCCCCATATGATCTTCAATGAGGACTCTCACTTATACCCCCCAACCCCAACTCTCATATGAAAGAAATACACGATGAAAAAAAGAGAGCAAACTAATGTCATTATATATACATAAACACAAGATAAGAAAAAGCCAACTTACTTAATTAATTGCTAAGCCTCTCTTGAACACTGCGTAGATCATGATGATCAAGGATGATGAAGATGATCGACGACAATGGTGGTGATGTTGATGTTGATGATGATGATGATGATGAGATGAAGAGGATCCGAGGTTCCTCTCAGCGCAAATGGGTGATTTTCTTCAACCTTGAGAATAAAAATGAACAGGCTGATTAAAATTCTTGCAGCTGACATGATCTCTCCGATCCAAATCTTCTCTCATCTACTTTACTCTTTCTTTGTTTTGTGTGTACGTACTCTTAAAATCCCCACCCCCCTACTACTTTGACCATATAGATTCCAGTGCAAAGCGATGAACAGAACCTAATCAGTAGCTAAAAGAACCAAAAAGATTACTAAAAACTTAAAAGAGGGAGATAAAAAGAAGGAAAAAGAGCTTATAATTAAGCAGCTTTTGCTAGATCAGGGAAGTAACTGAGGACCCAATATTTGCTGGATCATGCCAAGCACTGAGTCCAGTTGTATTCCAATAAAGAGAATTAGGATCAGACAAACCCACTTGGTCGATCTGATTCCACTCCATCTTGCTTTGTTCTTGACCATTTTCACCTTTGACTACTCCTGTTAATTCAGTACTGTTGCCTCCCCCCATTTGAAGGTCTTGAAGTGAAGCTAGAGACTGGAAATGGTTTGGTGGTTGAGTGCCATTGATGAGCTTCTGTTGTTGGTGAAGAGTAGAAGCAAGTAAGGAAGAAATAGTTGGTGTAGAAGATGGAGAAGAATTAGCAAAGATGGGATAAGTTGAGAGGAAAGAACTTGAAGTGACCGCCATATCTTGAAGCTGTTTAGTAGTGTTAATTATGAGGGGATTATGATCAGATACAGCAGCATCATGAGACATGATATTCATCGTCCCTAATCCAAGAGCATTCAACTGAGACTGAAGACCATACCCAGAAGTAGTCGAAACTGATCTAGGGAAAGGAAGATTGATAGGATCAGATGGGTTAGTGGGTAAGCCATAAAACAAAGGGTTGATAGGGTTGGAAGAAGCAGAAGAGTTATTATTATTATTCATCTGGGAGTGATTAGGCTTGTTAGGGTTTGAAGAAGGTGCATCCATGGCAGGTGATCTCTTGACACGCTTGTTTTTTCTGCAACCACCACCAACAGGAACATTCCTTAGGGTTCCACCTCTGGTCCAGTAACGCTTACAAGCTTTGCAGAAGTGTCTTGGCTGAGATAAACTATAGTTGTTATAGTAACAGAACTTGGTGTTTGATGAATCACAGCGGGGACACTTGAGAGCAGCTTGTTCTTGTTGGCATGGTTTCTCCATAAGCCTAGCAGTTGATGCCATCAAGCTTTTCTCATCTATCTGGTTATGTCCCTGAAGCCAAACAGAAAGAGAAAAAGAAAGAAAGAAAGAGTTGAAGTGGGTAAAAATAACAAGACAAGACAGATATTCTGTTCCAAATGGAAAACAACAAAATTGAGTCATGTTGTGTTTAATAATTGAGATAAAGGAAGAAGAAGAAGAAGAAGAAGAAGAAGAAGAAAGAAAGAAGAAAGAAGAAGGAAGAACCTGTGACCACTGGTTTGTAGTTGAAGAGATGACAGGCATCTTCTCACATTTCCCCAACATTTCTTTCTTCTGATCTCAAAGGAATCGTTGAAACAAGTAGTAAACAGACAAAGAGCAGGTGGCGGACTGTCTTGAGGGACTTGAAATATTATGACAGTGACGGAGAGAAAGAAGAGAGATGAGTAATTAGGTTAACAAGATAAACTAATTAATAATCTTACAATATTATTTTAATCTAATTATTGTTTTTATGTAATTTCACGTGATGGGTTACTTCTGGGTAAATTTTTATACACATAACCAATTAATATAATATAATATATATTATAATATTATGCAATTGAAGAAAAGAAGAAAGAATATGGGATGTGGTGGGCATATAATAGATGTTCAAAATCCAACAAGAGGACAGAGAGGTAAAGTAGAACATAACAGATGAATCTTTGAGAGGATCAAGAAAGGAAGAAAGAAAGAAAGAAAGAAAGAAAAAAAAAAAAGAACAACACAACATGAGACTTACACATGACTATACGTAACATTCCTTTGCATCAATGAATAAAGAGAATCCCTAGGGCACACTATCCTATGCTCTCATACAGCAAATCCCACTTCCTCTCGTAAATTTACTACCCATATATACCGTAAGTATATCTATCCATACATATACTCTATACCCATTTTATATATAAACACTAAGAATAAATTATATACATAAGCTTCTTTTCAATAGCAAAACTCAACTTCATTGCACCTACATCCAACCGTGTTGTACATCAACCCAATTCCCATTTATTACTTATTGTATGTGTATATTGATATTTATGAAATCATTAGTGTATATATATATATATATATATATATGAGTTGATATATAAATATACAAACATAGAATGTGGGTGGGTCAATTGAAGTGGTGACATGGGACCTACCTTTTTATTGGTTGAGTGAACCATAACTATTGAATGGTTACTACACGAGAGAATATGAAAATTCCAAGAGGAAAGGACAAGCCTGCTCCATGTGGTACGACTACTACAATCCAGTTTAATCTTTCACTCAAAAAGACACGTTTACAGACCACTCTTTCTTCTCCAGAGACCTTATTTTTAATTACATATATACATACATATCAAACATATATATATACATACACGTTTCTTCTCTCTCAAACATCACCTTGTTCACTAATAACATGTTTTTCTTTTTTTTTTTTTACTACTCATCAAAAAATTCTTGCACTCTCCTTGAAAATTAGAGTTTAAACATGAAGGAATAATAAAATTTAATTCAATTAAATTAGTAACTTAATTTATTCATCTTCTTTTGTATTTTAGAGAACCCACAAATAAAAATAAGAATTAAAACCGTTAATGGTGTCAGCCGAGAAAGCTACTCATACAGTATATATATATATATATATATGTGTGTATATGTATATATAATATATGTATGAATGAATTAGCTACTAAGAGAAATTTATATGGAAGATCGGAGTGCAGAGGCATGTGGCGGGCAGCTCAGCTTATAAGGAAAAGAGAAGAATAAAAAGCAAAAGCATAGTCTGGGGAACAAACGGATTTTGTATTCTTTCAAGGGATTTTCTCACCTCCCAAACATCCCATCATTATTCTTCCGCAGTCTCTCTTAATTAATTAATTAATTTCTTAAACAAGCTTTTCACATTTAAAAATGACTTTCACTCTACGTGATTTACAACTTCAATTAATTACACACAGTTACCCTATTACTACTACTAGCTCTCTCTATATATATATATATGTATATATATGTATGTATGTATCAATTACTAGCATGCCAATATATATATATATATAGGGTTAGATCTAGATTTGGGTTGTCCCTACCTTAGATTATCTTTATTTCTTTGGAGAATGAAAGTTAGATATCTTTACCATATAAGGTTAATTATTATTTTGGGATTAGTCTAGTCTTACTAATTATCTCCCATTAATAAATCAAAATGACAAATGATTAACACCATTCAAGAACTACACCCAATAAGTTGTCATTGATAAATGGCACACAGTTTTTCCAGAATAGGAAAAATCTATTCCAATTGGTTTAACAAATTAAGAAACTAGCTAGATCAATACAAACATATATACATGTATACATAATATATGGGAACAGTATAAATGTCGAGATTCTAATTATTTTTATCTTAAAAAAAAAAAACAAAAATCTTGTATTTGTAGTGGCAAGAATATATGCTTGGGGGTGGTATTTACATTATTATGTATGTTATTTTTTTTTTAATTTTATAAATTCCATTTTAGAGTAAGGTCTATTAGGGATAAAAAAAAATCTAAGCATGTGATTTATATGTGGTGCAGGCAAGATGTGACTGGTGCCCAATTGAACCCACAAAATGGTTATCCAAAACAGTAATCCATCTTAAAATTTATTAAATGGGTTTGATTTGCACAAATATTTTGTCATAATAGTTGTTCTAATTAATAATTATAAAATAAAATAAATTTTTTTAATGTTACGAGAATATCATGAATTGAAAATAATCGATATATAATATTTAATTTTATAATAATTATTTTTTTGAAAAAAAATAATTATAATTGATTAAAAATTGGGTTTAAATTTATTTTTATAAAAAAGATTTGGTTTATTTTGATTGTAAAGAAAATATTGTTCCCTAGCTAGCTAGTATATCTAACATATTTGCAAACACTATATAATTTTGTTATTTTTTTTTTAAAAAAATAAGTGAGTTATAAAGTTTTTTTTTTTTTTTTTCATAAATGTATCTGACCCATTTACATTTAAACTCAATTTAGATAATATCAACATACCGATAAATTAAATATTTAATTTAATAAAATTAAATATTATATAATTTATTATTTAAATGACATAAATGTATATCAATTATTTTTTTATAAATTGTTGATACAAAATTATGGATTATGAATTGAGGTATTCCCGTTAGATAGTTATATTATAATTAATATACATATATATATGTTACTTAAATTAATAAAATATATAAATTTTAACTTTAAAAGAATGTACAAATATATATCATTTAAGACAATATGAATTAGTCTAAATTATTGGACTAATAACTTGTTATTTAGTGATAGATAAGAATATAGGTGAAGAAATATGTATAACGTGGAAAAATGGAATATGAGGGGTAATTTCGTAATTTTATAATAAAAAGGCATGTTAGGGCAATGGAGTGTGAATTGGGTCCCTACCGCAACTTGACAAACATGAAAGAAACTCAACACGCACGTTAAACCCAATAATCTTCTTTTCTGGACTTTCATGTTTCTGAATTCACATATATATATATATATATATAGAGAGAGAGAGAGAGAGAGAGAGAGAGAGAGTGGGGAGGTGGAGCCATGGAGGGGGACCAGAGCATCAAATACAAGCCAACCCATCAAAAGGCTGACCACATTTGTACCCCAAACAAACTGCAGACAAAGATCTCTCTCACACCCTCCATTTTCTTTTCATACCCTACTTTTTGTATTGATTCAATTAAAAAAGGATTAAGTCTCATGTTAAGATTACTATCTCTTTAATCGCAAATGTACAATAGTAATAAGTAAAGTATTTCTCGTAA